GCGGGGCGGACAGCGCGGCGACACGCACAGAACGCCGCCGTCAGTGTCGTGGACCCCGTCTGCTTCGCGTCGCCTCAACGCGCGCGCTGTCCATTCCGAGTTTGCGTTTTTCGCAATAACGTCAACCTGCTTTACGCGTCCTGCTCACCGTTCTTTGACTGGCGGCGTCTGGGAGATGGTGAGGGGTGCGGTCGGGGGCGTTGTGGGTTGTGTCTGCAAGGGGTCGGGGCAGGAGGAATCCCTATCAACTCGATTGCATAATGTCCTAGGACGCGCCCCGTCGCCCCTCCCTCCCTCCATCGGAATCGGGGCCCGCGATCCCCGCGCCTCCCCGCGCGGCCCGGCCCGTCACAATCCCCGCCGCCTCCTACGCCCACCCCAGCTTGCACCGGCCGGCAGGCCAGACCAGAGACGCAGCAGCTGCCGGGCGCCGGGCGCAGTCATCGCCGACCTCTCCGCCCGCGCCCTGCTCCCGCTGTCGCCACCCGTCCCGGCGCCCACACCTCGAGGTCGCTGCGCGGGACCCTGGCGAAGGCCCTGCTATCCGTGTCCAGCAGCGGGGCGTCCATGGCGGTCGCAGAGGCGCGCAGACCGTACAAGTGCGTTGTCGTCGGGGTCGCCTTCGCGGGGGCCATGGTGAGAGGCTAGGGTTATGGTCGTGCCCAAGTCCCCCGTGAGGCTCTCGGCGCCGCGGCGGCAGCCCACGGGCAAGGGTGGCGCTGCTGGCTGCTACAACAAGTCCGATGGTGAGTGCAGTGCCAGGGGTCCTATACTCTCAATACATGCGTGCACAGGTTTTTCCCGTTTTCCCTTGATGTTTTCTGATATTTATTTCTTGATTTTTGCTTGATTTTTCCTGATTTTACTCCTGAGTGAAGTACTCCTTGGTATACCGCAGGGAGCGTTCCGTTCCGCCGCTGTCGGGGGTTGTTTCCTACGTCGATCATTTCGCAACGCCCCGCGGCAGCCGCCGTAAAAAAGAAAATTTCTATAACATCGCGTCGTTTGAGGAAAGAGGGGGAGGGAAACAACAATATGGCGATTCCGACAGCTGCGGCTGCGGGGCTGGTCGCCTGCCGCTGCACATCAGGAGCGTAAACATTTCGTGAAAAGTGGTCGTTTATTTCGTCTGGTCGTGCCGACCGGGGGCAGCCAGCCGCCGCCTCGCCGGGGGCCTCGCCGGGGGGCGGGGCCGCCCTCGACGTGTCGGCCCGCCGTGTCACTTACTTGTCCTGTGTTATTTTCTTGTTGGGTGACGGCCAGGCGCGACCCAGCGCCCAGCAGCCCTGCGCCCTATGCGTCCTGCCCGATGCAAGCATATCTCGACACTGTGTGTATCCGAGTGGTGTTCACCCCGTGACCTCTGCCCCACGCCGAGAGGCGCCTTCGCACCCCCAGGGCACCCTCGCCTCGCCCGATGCCGGCTAGAAGATCGCTGGGTCGCCGAGCGCCCGAGCCGACTTACATCGCCACGCAGCGGGCGGGGAGGAAGAGGCCGCGTGTGTTTTCTTTGTCAACGTTCATTCAAGATTTCTCCCCCTTGCGAGGTCCGCGAGCGGCTGTTTTCCATAAGGCTGTCAGGCGGGAGGGGGGCTACGCCCGCTTGAACACACAACAACAACTCGCGGGCGGCGGCGTCGCGGAAGCACACGGCGACGGTCATTTGGCATCGGACGGAACCGCGGGGCCCACCCGCCCCGCCCCGCCCAGAGCCCTTCAAGTGCCTCTCGACTCGTCGCCCTGGCGCTCGCGGCCATGCCCGGGTGGCGCTCATGCGCCTCCCCATCTAGGTCAGGGAGGGATAAAGCAGAAACTCACTGACGGCGACGTGCCTCACCGCGGGGGCCGCGCCCCGCCGCCGCCAGTCCGCCCACCAATCTCTCTCGGACCTCAACATGTCACGCTGCGCCCGCCGGTGGGCGGGGTGCACCAGGCCATGCACCAGGACGGTGCACTACGAATTTCTCACTGCTTCCTGACTCGTTCTGAATGAAAAGTTATTTTCCAAGTTTTGCACACATCCTCGTGGAAGGAATGATAAATACCTATCATGGGGCTCCGACCAAACCATTTTTTTGCTCCCCGACGGCCGGCCGCCGAGGTACCCACGGCACGCGGCGCTACCCCGCGCCGGCCGGCCGTGGGACCAGCGCAACCGAACCCAACCCCTCCGCGCCCGCGCGTGTCTTTACTCTCGCGCGGGGTATCGCCCGGCACGGCTGAACACGCGCGTGACAGACGAGGTGTATCGGTGGGGCCTGCGAGCGACTGCCGGCACTGTGAGCTGAGCTTCCCTCGAAGCAAGACAACCTTTACTTTTATTCCTACCGAACGCGCGTGCAGTCGCGCGGTCATGTCACCTGTCGTGCACTCTGGAGACGGCCCCCCACCGCCGTACCCCGCCCCGCCCCGTCCTACCCCACAGGCCCCACCAACCCTACCTTGCCATATTTTATTGTCATCGGGAGATGCTGGCGCGCTGTGCTCTTCCCCCTGGGAGCGTGGCGGTGGTGGTGCAGGAGGCAGGCGGTGGCGGGGAAAACAACGGCGTTGTTTGCAGCCATAAAACCTCGTCTCCGAACCTCCCCCGGGGGGCCTGCGCCGGCCTGCGCCGGCCTGCGCCGGGCTACGCTGCCGCAGCCCTCCGATATGAATGTGTATCAGTAGGTCAGGAGGGGTGGGATGTTTTTGTTGTTGGGCGTGGTCGGATACCGCCACCGAAACCTTGCGGGAGAAGTTGTGCGGGAAAGGGGAGAAGATCAAGATTGTGGAGGTGGGGCGGCTCGTGTGGTGTAGCTGTACTTTCCGTAGCTGTATGTGTAC